CAATAAAGATGTAATCGAGATTAATCGAAAACAACTGCTCTCCTGTGTCGCTCAGTGATGGTGGAATGAAGATCAAGTGGGTGGACAACACACATGCCCTGGGTGTTTTTTCCAGTGAGTCAGCAGGTATGAGCTCTCTCGTGTGGGTTTGAGGTTATGGGCTTATGTATGTGACTGAAATGATGTACTAATATGTAGCACTCTTTACTGTGTCACACAGCTCTCCATGCCCTCTCCATCTCCCACCCACTGCTGAAGGCACGAGCACTGGCTGAAGGGAGTAAAAAAGCCAAAGGCAAAGCCATTCAACGAGCAGGTTAGTGATTCACTTCTTTAAGCTATGTCTTATATTTAGCAATTATGTTTTAACCCTCTCTTAATATTAAGTCTGGGGAATTAGTTTTTGTTGTAACTCTGTTTGATGGATAAGATGGTTGCTTCTGTGCCATCCTCCAGAGTTTATCCAGCCCGTGAAGGAACGTCCCAGGACAGACTGTGCTGTCGCCAGGAGGATGGTGACCAGAGCCCTTGGGCTGCAGTCACGAGGCAGAGTGCCGCGATACTAAAGAGAAGTGCTCACAATGTGATACATTAACAGGTGAGCAGACTAATGCAAGCCAAAGATTTTTGGCATCATAGTTTCACTGTGTGAGACTATGATGCCTGTGGCTTCATCCATGTTACTTTAAATTAGTTTGCAACACTATTGCTACATTTTCCAGCGCCTGTGTTCAGCGCAGTCACTTCCTTATTGGTTTTCATCAGGCATTACTTGACTACCTGCAGTAAAGGCAAAGAAATCCCTGCTCTTACTTTTCACCATTGTTGTTTCTCATTCGCAGTATTTATCTGTATTAAAGCAACCAACTGCAGAGTAAACATTCTGTTTCCTGTTTACACTGGCATGCACATGTCCAGTGCACGTGAGAAGTCACGTGACATGCTTTTTCAGATGTATTGATGGAGATTATAATTGATGTAGAGCTGAGGTCGTATAGATGTAGCCTGTGGAGTGGAATTCCTTTATTGTAACATGAAAGTCGGCCTGTGCTCCACTGTGCCTGTGATTTTCTTGTGGGAATAAATGAATTACAGCTATATAATGATTTGGGAGATTCCATGCTATTATTACTTAATAGGATTTCTGTCACATATGTTGTTACTTCTCAGTCCAACTCTAACCACGATGGGGTTTTAATTGCTATTGATCAGAAAACTATGAATAACACACACAATTAACTGCAGAATATACTCTTTTCAGACAACATTAAAACCTTTGAACATTATAAAAAGGTTCATCACACAAATTGGAATATGCTTTTACCATTGTTAATTAACTTTTCCACATTCACCCATTCATACAAAAAAAAAACAGTCTGGCAACAAGTAACAAGTACTCTTATAAAAAAGAGGGGTCATGGAATTAGCTACATCAGAAAATTAATTCACAAAATCATGAATAGTCATTTTCACACATGTGCAGGTATCACAGTTCACCCGCAATGTTCTCATAGTCCCTGATGGTAATAATTTAACAAACGTGAAGCATTAGCTGAGGGGATGTGCACTTCGTGAAGATGAAAATGTGTCTACTGTAACAACCAAGAGAATGAAAGCAATAAATAAAACATTTCTTAAAAGTGAACTCAAGTATGTGAAACAAAAAGCCATGGTAGCAGAAAGCACTTTCCCTCTCAGCTTAATGATGACTTAAATTTATGAGTTAAAACCTGACTGTTGTTAGAAATTCTACAGGAACCCAATCCAGGACAGTTGGCATAAATAAATCTTATTCAGCAGAGTGGCTCTGATAATCCAACATCCACTCGCCTGCTTTGCAGCCGTGGTTACAAGTGATTATTTGTAGAAGGTTCATTACAGCTATGCTGGAAACAGGCGTTATTTGTGTTGTTGCCATCTTCTGCACCTTGTTGCTCTGCAGTAATTCTCATAATCATGTACTGTATTTGTTTTTGGTTTCTAAAGAAGCCTTTTCACTGTGATTGATAGATTTGTCTTTTAGTTTAACTCTCTTGAGAAAACAAACATACAGTGCAAGATTTCGATGACTTATAGCACCAGATTTAGCAGCAGACTGTTTTTACATCCATCCCAAGTAAACCCGACATCCAGGTGACGCTCTCATCTAATGGGTATTTTCATTGAGTCGTTCCCCAATATTTGAATCTTTGGCCTTAAACTGTTTGGCACAATTAATTTAATAAATAATTTGGCTTAGATCCTCCCTGACATCTCTCTTATTAAGCACCAGGTCAAAGCTGACATTTCACTGACAACAACAGCAAGAGACTAAGAGATAAGAACATTTTTGTACTTTAAAACATTTAGTAAGTAAGTTGGTCCTTTCCCCTTTACTCATTGTCCTTTGTACCAGCTGAGCTCTGAGCTCAACTTCAATCCAGCACTTCTGCAAGGAGGCATAGCTGCACAGCCCCCTCTAGTGGTTGTCAAATATTCATATTTGCTTCCCTAATGTCCGTCCGTCTGTCCGTCCTCGTTGTCCACTTCAGGTCTACCTGTGCGACAGCTGGTTGGTGAGCAGTCCAGGGAAGGTTTCTTCTGTTTCTGAACTCAGTGTGCCACCTGTGAGGTCAGACAGGGAGAGGATGATGAGAAGAAGTACTCAAATCAAAAACTGAATCTCCTCGTCCAAAAAATCTAAACTTAAACACAGTTTTTTTTGTTTTTTTTTATCCCTAACTTTATTCATGAGTGTGGTCTTTCATTTTAAGAGCAGGACTTATCATTTTTACATTCAGATTCCGTAATACGTAAACCCTTGTGTTATATATTCAAACTATGCGCTTGCACAGAGATATTGTGATTCTCAGAGAGATTTCCTGAGCTCGTCTCCTCACGCTCACATTGCTTCTATTGGTGCATGAAACGTCTGCCCTCTGATTTTCTTCCTCCGCTCTCAGACAGTTTGAGCACAACTCGAGCAAATACAGGCACAAGGGTTTTGAGTGAAAACATTTCAAAATGTGAATGTGAAATCAGTAAGTCCTGCTCTGTAACTGAATGGCCATGCTTTTGAATAAAGATAGGAAACCACCCCCATAAAACCCCATCACATTGGGGGGGAAGAAATGTAAGCGGTTAAGTCATAGGAAGAGGTAAATAAACCTTTCATTTATTGTTCGTGGAGCCAAACCTCCTAAAATAAAAAAAATGTTTTGTGGCATGTTGTGATTTGACACCTTTTAAAATCAAAACTTTTTTTTTTTCTGCAGAGATGTTCTCCGGCTTAAGAGGCTCTACAGTGGTCACAAACAGCTGAGTATGACAACCGTCCACCACTGTGCACCCGCTTCAATGCCCCACGCCACCAACATCCACCCTGATCGAGGGTCCTGAATCCCCACCAGCCTCAAAGTTTTTGTTCTGCAGTTAAACCTGACCCCCCAACCTTCAGACATTACTGTTGTGGTTCCTGTTGTTCACTGGGTCACTAATAATACAACGATGATAAAAGTGTTGAAGAGCCTGAGACGTATGAAACATTCAGATGCAAGCTGTGGTTTCAGGTGACTAGAAGAAGCCGGTAAATTTGTTGCCTTCAAACTAAAGTGTATTTGATGGTTGGCTCATTTGTTGACAGGGCATTTTATTTTTGTTTCCTGGCCCAGGTGATCCAGGATTAGTTGAATAGATGTGTGTTAGTAGCAATTAATTTCCAACGAATTTCTCCACAGATTATTTCTCAGGATTGGTTACAGAAATCTATTACAATATGCGCTGTGGTTGTAGACAGATTTTTATATGGAGCGGAAACTCCCAACAGACAAATATAATGCGATCCATTAACACAAGCAGATCTGATAAATGGTTTTCAAAAGTCAGCATTGTGGGACATATCAAGAGACACAGGTATACAGAAGAACACATGTAACAAGCAATGTTTTACTGGATATTTTCTGATGTTTTAGTTCATTTTAAAGTGTAGTTTTATTTTTTGTAAGAAAGTTGCAATATATAAGTTGTTGATCTTTAATTTATTCGGAATAGCAAAAAATATATATTTCTTGTTGCCTCAGATGTGAAGAGTTCAAGTTGTTTTTTACTCATATTACAGAAAACTTAAGCTTGTGTATTGGAAGCTTGAATGTTCAGCCCTCTGTACATGTTACTATGACATTTTATATCATTTAGCTAATGACTTAACATCAGTCCTCTGTAAGTGGTGTACAAAGAGACAATTTATACGTTTGTATTGAGTAGAGGAAGATAAGTGTTGTAGATTTTTAATGGGCTGTTTCCCTGAAATGATCTTTTGTACCTGATTTGAGTTTGACAGGACTTGTTCTGTGTCTGTTACGATGAGAGTTCCTTGGAGATTTGAACTAATCTACAGTATCGTATTAGAACATTTCAGGGAAAAGATGACTTGATTGTAGCGCTAAATGTGGCACAAATTCTCAAAAACATTAAAACTATACATTGTTTACAACTTAATCTGTTGAATAAAGGAGGTTTTAGTGTTATAACATATATTCACCAAGCAGTTTATTAGGAACACCAGTACATCTGCTTATAAATGACATTTTCCAATCAGCCAATCAGCAGTGGTAAAGAGTCCTGCAGGTACAGGTGAGATGCTTCAGTGAATGTTCAAACATCAGCTGTGTGAACAGAAGCATCTCACTGATTAGAGAGTTCAGTGGACAGAGCTCAGACTAGTTGGAGCTGACAGAAAGAGAACCACTCTTTACAACTGTGGTGAGCAGAACCAGACCACATCAGGTTCCACTCGTGTCAGCCAGAAGCATAAATCTGAGGCTGCAGCCGGCACACTCACCAAAACTAAACGGCTGAAGAGTGGAAAAATGTAGCCTGGTCTGATGAATGTGGATTTCTGCTGAGGCCGCAGAGTGTAGGGTCAGAATTCATGCTTTGCACAGCATGAATCCATGAACCCAACCTGCCTTGTATCTGCAGTCCAGGCAGCTGGTGGCGTAACAGTGTGGGCAATATCAGTCAATCATAGTTTGAATGAATTGAATTATTGCTCATGATCACAGCATCTTCTGATTGCTACTTCCAGCAGGGTCATAAACAAAAGTAAAAATTGTCTCAAACTGGTTTCATGAACATTCTTTTCAGTTGCCTCCCTTTTCACTAGAAGAGTCACTGAATCTAATAAATCACCTTTGGGATGTAGTACAACAGATCTACTGCATGTCGACATAGAGTTGAATCACTCTGAGGAAAGTTTCCAACAGCTTGAGAAAACAACGCTATGAGTAAATTAGGTATTAAGAGCAGAGAGACACTGATTTTATACAGAAAAAGTCATCACATGTAATATCTGGTTTCAAATCATAACAGTGAAGTAAGTGCCTTAAAATTACAAAATTGTGCAAAACATTTTATTTTGAGTTCAGTTTTCCTGCTATAAAAAAAGCTAGAATGCAGCCAAACTTTCCACTTAACGTGATGTCAGATGCTGTGGTACGTAGGAAACAATATACAAATATTATTAAAGAGCAGAAATAAGTGCAGGATGAACATTGGATATGTGCAATTTAATGTTCGTGCAAATTGATTGTAAACTGTTATAGTGCAATGAGACCCCGGGCCTTATTGATGGGGCCAGCAGTCGGTCCTGATTGGCAATGTTTAACGACTGTAGCTAATATCAATGTGACCCAAACCCAGAGGAGATAGTGATTCTTAAAATAAAAGTTCTCACCTGTACGACAGTTGTACATCCATATCCTTTGTCCGTCGTACCGAGAGCGGCACTTCATTATGTTGTTACTGTAATCGGATTCTGCAACCTCATAGTTGGGGTTTATCACAACCTGACAGAGGAAAAAAAAAAGGGTGTCAGGATGATCTCGCAAAGTGAATGTCTCGCAAGTTTAACTTGTTGCAGCTGCTTCAGAAGGATGATTTACTAGTTCAGGAGGTCAGAGTTTGAGTGACAACTTTGCTGAGTTTTTAAATTCCACAGGACCCTGCGTCCTTCAACAACCCCTGCTGACTTGTTTTAAGTCTGAATAAGAGTTTTACTGCTTGAATGACAAACAAAAGCAGATGCAGAGACACGGAAAGTGTTTGTTTGGTCTATGAAGACACACTGGCTGAGGATGAGAGGATCTTTCCAGCAGCAGATGCTAATAGACGAACCTGGAAGATGTAGTCTCCGGGCTTCACGTCTGTGATGTCAACCCACTGACAGTCGATGTCATGTCTGTAGGTATCCCAGCATCCAACTGTGATTCCTTGTGCTCCGAAGTTTGCACATTCGTACCTTTTCTGGATACCTGTAAGTAAATGTTAGTGTTTAGACCTGTAATGTTTGTATTTAGAGTTGTAGGTTCAGGTAGTTTTAATCAAAACCTACATTCAACAACAGTGTTTAATATTTGCAAAATCGTCCTTTTACTCTCTAATCTTAAGAAAATCACATTAAACCAAAAGTCAGTGGAACCATTCAACACAAAGCGACAGCGTCTCTTAAAATGATAAAGGAAAGGAAGGTGTCTGTATTTACCTTCGTCACAATGCGTGTCCTCCAGACAGAAGCTGGCTTTGTGTCCCTCTGCCACTTTAGTGCCATTCAGACTCAGCAGGTCATAGTGGGTGAAAACCTCCATACTATGGTAATGCCTAGGAAGGACAAAGGCAAAGACAGGATACATTTTTAAACATCCTCTGTGCATAACTACTTGCATAACTACTACCTGACAATTACATATGCTTGCACATGTTCTACTCTAACCAGCAGGCGTACAGGGGGCTCTTGTGTTGACGCTCCGGCAGAATTACTCCTTTAGTGAGTCTTCCGCAAACAGTTCTATAATATACTGTCACTTTTTATGTGCTGGACGTTGTGTGCAGAGCTTTTTATAAACAGTCTATGGTGCAGAGTGACGGTAGAAGACTTTGTGTTCATCCTACCTGGTTTATCTGCATTTTATAATCAATGTTTTTCATATAATGAAACTGCTTTTGCTTTATCAGCAAGATCAGCACCAATCTCGCCACTGCACTTTCTGAGGCAATGTCTAATACATGTGCTAAGTGTGACCTCAATATAATAATTGGTTTGCAAGATATGCATTCCATATACAGACAGGGGTTGGTGGAATTAGAAGGTAGCTTCCGCCCTGTAATCATTTGATCATAAGTTTCTTTCAGTTATAAAAGAAGCAGTGAAGTATTAATTATGCGGCTCTAACCTGTGACATTCATGCCAAATCCAGGAATGGTGCGCAGCCCGTGGCCTGAAGTCTGACAGGCCGTTGTTGTGGATCTGGGAGGAGAAGCGGAGAAGGCGGCGGTAGGAGTTGGAGTCAGCTTTGTCTGCGCTGGTGGAAAGACAGTTCTCCTCCTGGGCACACTGCAGCGCATACAGGGGCCTGTCCTCCAGGTATGTGGTCTGCTCTACAACCTGAGCACTAAGAACCAGGTCCGGAGCCGCTGGAGGAAGAGAGCAACGAAGAACATTTATATTCAACTGTCACATTACAATTTATTCCACACATTTGAGATTTTCCCAGATGAAATGTACCTCTCTTTGCAATATTCATAATGCATTAAATATTGGCATTTTCCTGTTTCTTACTCTGAGTACACGAGACCCCAGCAGCGAAGCGTCCGCCACCCTTGGGACAGTGGACGTGTTTCCCATGGTGCAGACACTGGTCCAGAGTCAACTCGGTCCCTGAACATCTCACTCCACTCATCACCACTGCGTCAGCTGAGGAGTCTCCTTGCCAGTACCATGTTTCCTGAGTAAAGAGAAGCACAGAGAAGTCGTCAGCTGAGAAGAAATTCAGAAGACTTCAGGTACTAATTATTGTGACTCAAAAGAATGGTGGTGTGGTGTAAAGCTAGAGCCAGCGGCTGGATATTTTAGCTCAACACTAGAAACTGGCTCTTGTTTCATTTTTGTTGCAATTGTACAGAAACTGAGGTGTTACTTGACTTTGTGCCTCTCCTCTACTAACCAAATTACATCAGAGGTATTTTGTTGCCTTCACACAGAGCGATGCTAGCAGTTTCCTTCTGTTTCCAGTCTTTATGCTAAGCTATGTTAAGGGCCTGCTGGCTGTAGCTTTCTATTAAGTGTACAGATGTGATAGTGATACTATCTAATCCTGGGGGAAAAATCAAATAAGGGAATTTTCCATTATGTCAAATGACCTAATGTCAGTTAATCCTAGTCTCAGCTCAGTTACATTAATTCATCTATTTATGATCAACTCAGCTAGAAATAAGCAGATTGAAAATCGTGCTGCTTAAAGTGTTTTGGAAACAAAGATCTGTGTGGGATGGTTTTAGAACAAAAACATGATCTTAATTTTCCTTCTGTATTTAATTTGCGGACACGTCATCCCATTTGTCCCACAAGGCGAATCTAATCAAAGGGTATATCACACACACACACACACACACACACACACACACACACACACACACACACACACACACAC